TCAATTTATAAATTAGACATAGTACAATAAACAATATTAATGAATAAAATAGAATTATTAAAATAATACACTGTAATATATGTTATGAGAATGTCTTCTCTCTCTCAAAATACCTTTTGTACTTTACTCACCCTTCTTATGATGATGATTATCTGAGATGATACAAAGTCCATGTGATGAAATGAACTGAGGTGAATGACATAGGCGTGTGACAGGATTTTATGTTGCTAGTGACATTTTCGATTGATCCCTGAGAAGCTGTTTTGAGTGGTCTGATGAAATTGCATGCTGTTCTGCTCCATGCCACCCAGAATGTGAATCATCACTTCTCTAGTGCCATGCTCTATATGATACCCACCTAATAGTCACTTGAGAGCCATCTAGGTGATCAGATCGATTGTCATGATATCAACATGCTTGTGTGCAACTGTTTTGTCCTAAGAGTGATGTGCAATTTATAAACTTGTAAATTGTTTATTTTTGAAAATTTTCACTAAATGTTTCTGGAGCATACTTGACCACAGGTAACTAAAATAACTGCAAAACAAACTATTGATTAGGTGGGGTTACAGTAATCAGAAGAGAATGCTATTCATCACTGTGCTTGAGATTTGGCCTTATCTGTGTCCTGTTAAAAATGTTATATAATTTTAGGCTTCTGTGGCTTGTTGAAAACATTGTTTATGTTCTTTTAGGAACACTGGGATTGGATGAGCAATAAGGTTTACTCTTGTTATTTTATTAGGGAGGGTATCCCAGAGTAGAGTATCCTACCCAGCCACCCTTAGTCACACTTGATCCCCTTTATCCTGCTTATTTTTTTTTATAACACTGACTGAAATAGATTTGCTTATTCTGTCATTTGACTTTTTTCTGTCTTTTCAACAGAATATAAACCCCATGATAGCAGCTACTGTCTGCTTGTTTATACTCTTTTATTCCATCATCAAGAACAGTGTCTGACATCTAGGAGGTACACAACAAATATTCAATGAATATTTATTTGTGCAAACAGGCCTATATTAAATCATATGCTTCCTTTCTTTTAAAGTTTAATGACTTTTAAAGATCTTATGACTCCTAAGCATTGAATATGCTTTATTCCTGAAATCCAGAGTGGGTCATTGGGGTGGGAATTAGTTGCTGCTTCTTAGTTTCTATACCTGGAGGAGAATTTGTAACTCTTTTTTCACTTATCTAGTTTCATTTGTTTCCCCTGTCCATTGGAGCTATAAGAGCAAAAATAAAGACTTGTATTGGTCCTGCATAAATCTTGAGTTAGGGATTATGGGAGAAGCAGATTTGAAAGGCTCACTCATTTTCTGGTGGGATTCTTCTGTGGAAACCAAGGGATTCTAATAAAAAGTTCCACTAATGTAGATGTACTGACCCTGGCCATTCATGGCTTTCCCTAGAGCCCAAAAGATTCTAATGGGTTATTTCTATATTGTGCTCATTTCATGGGTTTGGGTTGTTCTCTCATCCTTGTGGGCAGGAACCCTCCTATGGCCACTGCATCTTAAAAAAAAAAAAAAAGCCTCATTGTCTTGCCAAACACTGGAAGCACCAACCACATTCAATTTTTTTTTTTTCCAGCTCATTCAACCAGCAGCAGAGGATATTATAACCAGAGTATCTAGCTTTCAGATTTCTCTAGATAGATGAAAATCAGAAACCCAGCTCTGTAATTCTCTATCTCTAGGTGAGCGTGTAAAGTTTTTTGATTGTTCTTTATTTAGTCTTCATCAATTAGATTAGAATGAAAAGGAAGTATCCTTTCTTTTACCTCATGACAGAGGGCTTGGGGAAACATTGAGTATATTAAGAGTCTTTCCTTATTTTGGCCTGTTCAGACTTCAAAGGGTATTCCTCATCTCATATAGTTCTAGGGTAAGAGGTATGCGCAGGCTGAATAATATATTATTATCTATTCACAGTTCTGCACAGGTAAACTGGAAACCTTCTTGAGGTTAACATGTAGTTACAATGTCACCTGCTTTTGTTTCCGCAAAAATCTGAGATATCAGGAGAAAGTTACTTTTAGCATTCTGTTACATACACACTCAAAAGTGATATTTTTGTTAGGTTAAATGGAGTGTATCAATTCATATAATTGCAAAGTGGATGGGTACTGATGATTTCAGTTACTCTTGGATCTAGGACCAAATAATGCTAACAGTTGGTCAGTCAGGGTTTATTGTCTGTCTCTGTTTCATGATTTCTCTCTCATTCATTATTAGTTTTCCTCATTTTAAAAGTAGATTTACTGTTTTTAGTCCTGATGGATATTGCCTCTGTTATAATGAAAGTCCTTTTCCATTTAGTGTAAAAATGTCACCAATAGGTTTACATCCATTTTATAGCATCCTGTAATCATAACTGTTATGAAACAAACACACTAAAATATTTTTTCTGATGTCTTAATTAGCTTTCTAAAAGATACTATTGAGAACATTTGACTTACCTACCAGCCCTGCTGAAACAATATCCTGAATACTAAGACTAATTTACATTAATAAGTGTGCCCAAATTTGATCAGAGAGAATGGGTCACCAAGATTGAAAAAATCTGTGATTACTCAAGAATCATTTGGGAGAACTTACCAAAAGAATTACAAAAAGAAAGATGATGATAAGAATTATTGGTGGCAAAATTGGCAGAGTATCATATGTATATAATGCTGTTGATTTATACTTTGCTATTCACTTATTTCTCTCTACCAAATAAAAAATTAAAGGAAAATGATATTGCTGTCTTTTTGATGGTCCAACATTTCATATTCTAAGTGAATATAGTCATTCTGTGGTGTACATGGGGGAATTGCTTCCAAAACCCCCACAGATACCAAAATCCACAGATGCTCAATTCCTTTATATAAAATTGCCTAGGGTTTGCATATTACTTTTGTGCATTCTCCCATATATTTTAAATCTCTTTTGATTACTTATAAGATGTAATACAATGAAAATGTTATGTAAATTAGTTGTTGTACTGTACTGGTTAGGAAGTGATGACAAGAAAAAAGGTCTGCACATGTTCACTACATATATCTTTTTTTTTTTCAAATATTTTTGATTCACAGTTGGTTGAATTCATAGTGTAGAACCCATAGATAAGGAGAGCTGATTGTACATAGAAAGGGACTGAATTAGTGAGTTAATTATCTTGATTTTTCCAAAGAAAGGAAATAAAATACCAAAGATAACTTAGAAACAACTTCTTTCCTTTCCTTTGATGGTTTTTTTTTTTTTTTTTTCCTGGTTATAGGGATTGAACCAAGGGCCTCAGGCATGCTAGGCAAGCATGCTACAGATAAGCTACATCCCCAGCCCTTCCTTGTTTTTTTTTGGAAAAGAAGTTCTTATGTACCTATGAAATATTTTTATATTTCTCATAAGAAATAAGTTTACCTAAAAGTTTCCTCAATAGTAAGAAGGGGGGAAGAAAGAAACAAATGCTAATATTGTGAATAGAGTTTGAATAAGAAAAGTGGATAAATAATGATATTAAGGCACAAAATAACATATGGATACAAATAATTGTCATTAACTTAATGGGGAAAAACTAGGTTCTTGTCAAATGTTTCTTCCATTTTTTTAAATGTTTTCTTTTGTCAAAAAGAATTTAAAGGTTTAGCAACCGTATGCATCTAAAAGAAAACATTATAGATATATTTAATGGTGGAAAGTACACCAGTACAAATATTGGTATTGACAAATGCAAAAAAAATGATTTATAAAACTCTCCTGCCATTCCTTATGTAACTGTTTCCACTGAGATTCTCATAATATTGTACACATATATCTGCTAACCTTTTAGCCAAAGAAATTATTATGTGACACACTAAGTATATTAGAACTAAGAAGAAGAATGTTTTCCCCAGTAAGGGTTCATTTGATAATTTTGCTGTCACCATGGGGAGCTTATTCTTACAACATAGCCTGTGGTGCAGAAGTGTTGGTGACCATAGTCCCTCAAGAGAGATAAAATGTGTGAGAAGAAATGAACACCTGCTAAAGTTATTTTTGTTTTGACTAAAGGGGCACTTTGATATTCAGCTAGGGGGAGAAATATGCAAGTGAAAAATATAGACAATGATTAAAACCATGCTTCCTTTCCAGTGGGGGTTCTGTACAAACTTTATCACTGCTTCTGGAGGTAAAACAAGAAGGTGTGCAACCTTTGTATCCCACTGCCACAGCATTAATCTCGCCCAGAATAAAGACAGAAGGTCTCAGTATGTGGTGCCCATTGAACAGATATATTTAATAGACCAGGGCTTGATTCTGTCACAAACACTTGCACTTGCCAAGTTTAACTGGAAATAAAATCTAATCTTAAAAATAACTGAAATAGAACAAAATGCATGAAACATCTGTTTCCAAATTATTTTAATGTTTACAAATTGAATAAGTATCTTCCTAATTCAATCAATTTGTCTTTGTGTATTAATGGACCTTGATAACACTTTTTTTATTTTTTACAAAAATCCATTTTAAGGTGATTTTTATAGCCCTTTGCTAAATGATGCTTCTCTAGGGAAAAATGTTCTTGTAGATATATGTACGGTATCTGTTTGCTCAGAAATATTGCATGTGGTTTGGAATGTGAATGAACACCTAGTTTTGTATGTTTCATGATTTGCCTAATAGATATATTAGTTGGTTATCACTTGGCACATAGCTAACATTAGGGATTGGGTGGAAGGAAGTAACTTTTTGAAAAGACTACTTTTTGGCCTCCGGGTACTTGGTTTCAAGTCTTATTAATTCATCCCTCATATTATTTATTACTATTATTATAATCTATTCTGTTTACAGATAAATAAAAGACAATAAAAAACTTAAGTAGCAAAATAATTTTTTAAAAGTTTTTTTAAGTTTTATAAGAAAAAGGATATATTCTAAAAACTATGGCAAGATTAACATCTATCTGTTAAAAAATTAAAGACCATGAAGATGCAGCCTTTCACCAACTTCATACAGGTAGAGTCTCTCTTATTTAAAATGCTTAGGACCAGAAGCACTTTAGATTTTACTTTTTAAAAATTTTGGAATACGTGTGTATGTATGTGTAAAGAGGCATCTTGAAAATGGGATCCAAGTCTAAACATGAAATTCATTTACATTTTATGCATAACTTATAAACATAACCTGAAGGTAATTTTATGATATTTTTCGTATGCCTGCATTTTTACTGTGACTCATCACATTAGGCAAATTGTAGAATTTTTCCATTGTGGCAGCATGTTGGTGCTCAAAATGTTTTGGATTTTGGAGCATTTTTGATTTCAGATATTTGGATTAGGAATGTTCAAACTGTAGTCTTAGATGCTTCACATTGACTATGCACTGCTGACTGCTTTGGAGTTGAAGGTATTCAGAATTCAGAAAGACAATTAAACAATAGAGATGATGCAGGAAGTGCACTCTGATCTTAAAAGCAGGTTCTGAAATATCCCTGAGGAAGGTGACTTCTCTCTACCTGGAGGAAGAAAAATAGTCTCCTTACCAGAGATGGGGAGTTGAAGCTGGATAAATGTGTACAAAATATCTGTCACTAGCCCTTCTTTTTCTAGTCACTTTTCAACAATCAACTACCTTACCAAAGTCCCCTTGTTTTATTTCATTATTTACTATTTTTGGTACAACTCAATGTATGTGTTCAACTCTAACAGCTTCTTGGGATCTTTGTTTCTTTCTGAGAGCTCCATGTCAAATTAAACTTACATTAAATACATTTGTGTGCTTCTCTCTGTTAATCTGTCATATGTCAGCTAAAAAGAAACCCAAAGAGAGTGGAGGTCAAAAAGTCTTCCCTACTGTTTCCACTGATAGTCATTTTGGTATGTACATTAAGGGTTCTTCTGGTGATAATTGTTCTGAGCTTTGAGTCTGGCATAAAGAGAGCAAACAAAATTAACTTTAGTTATTTCTGGGCATCATTGAAGTTATCCCAATGCCCCGTCATCATTAGCCAAGATAGAGCAGGCACACAGTTACACATGGAGATGCTCACTCTCAGGCAGCTACTTCAGCTGGAGATTTAGCTATCCAGACTAGTATTTTCTTGTATTTTGTCCATTCTAAAGGATGTCCTTCATGATCACTAGAGGAAGAAGGTTCTAGAGTGTGACTTCTATTCTCAGATTATTTTTTGAAACTCTTACAGTCTGATGTTTGCAACCAGATTGGGAAATGAGAAAGAACATATATATTCAGGAAGTAGAAAATATTCTGGTCACACTAGCTATTTAGCAAGGAAATGTTCATCTGATTACTAATGCAATTACTGGATCAACAGTAGTTGTCTAAGTTAGTTTTCAATATATTAAATAATAAAAGGGTTTCTAAAATCTGTAATATTAGTTAAAACCCTTATATACAGAATGATATATTCTGCAAAGACCTGAGTATTTGATAACTTAAACATAACTTTCTCACTTAATTTTAAATTCTAGAAGGATTATGTTTCAAAATAGAAGCCATGTTTTATTCTGATATCTAGCATGGCTTATCTCACTCTGTATTCCCAATATAGTTTATTTTAAGGATAATATTTAAGCACACTTTATATTGTTGAGCTGATAATTGTGTTGTATAATCTTTTTCATTAATTAGAATATCTTATGTTTTATTTCATTTTAATTACATTTTATTTTACAATAAATATTCACTAGCAAATGTATGTATCTATACAAATGAAGGGCTAATAAGAATGTCATATTAATATTTGGACTTAAATTTGCATATTCGAGCTTCTGAGTTTTTCAAAATTTGAATAGGATTATTTTTTCCAAATAATGTTTTCAGTCAAAATGACAGAACTTTGGGTATTCTAACATCAGAAATGGAGTAGTTTTCATGTGGTTCTTGAAGATTATCTAATAGGGACACTTTTTTTTTTCCAAATTTTGATTGACCCAAATACGAACTCATGAATTGTGTGTATTATAAATGATGGTGGTGGAACTGATTTATATGTAGAGATTTACACTAAATTTTAACTGCGTACATAATGATGACAATGATGAGATAATGTTTTTTGGAAAGCTTACTGTATGCCAAGTAGTTTTTTAAAAAGCATGTCACGGATTTCATTCGTTAACTAACTAAAACAAACTGGAGCTTTTTATTATCACTTTTCACTGTAAAGGAAATGTAGACACAGATAACAAATAATGGTATGATGATAATATAAAATAATATAATTTTAATAAATTATTAAAGTAATTTACATTTTAATCAGTCATACATGATGTTACCCTGTAGTTTTTAACTGCAAAGGCTAAACCCTGAAATTGTTCATGTGAGGGATGATGGAGACAATGCTATAGAGAGTAAATCAATATCAACTTTAAGACCTAGGCTGACTTTTTAGAGTCTAAATTGAGAATACTTTAGAAAAGAAGGCATTGTGAAGATAAAGAGAAGAGTTTTATTTTATTTTAAAACTTCAATTCTGTTCCTTTTTTGGTACTATTGAAGGATTCAATTTGTAGAGCTTGCCTGTAAACAATAGGTAGAGAGAACACAGATGACAAGGAAAGGTAAACTCCCATTTAACAGACTACCTAGAAGCCTCTTCAGGTAGGTGGTGTTTATTGCTAAGTGGGTTATGATCTCCACAGTGTTGAGGGTGGATCTGCTGGTGAGTCAGTTTAATCTATTATTATAGAAGATCTAACATACTCTGATATTCATTCACCTACTTGGAATTTTCCACTTATTTGCAGAAGTTTGATCCCAGAGGAAGCCTGTAAAGAAATCACAAGAAAATGTCATGATTGGGTCTTTCATCCTTCCTTATTGTCCCTTTCAAAATTTCCCCCACCTATTCAGAAAAAAATATTTTATCTTTTTCTCATTAAGTAGGCAGCACTTTCTGCTATGCCCCACATTATTTGTATTAAGATTTTCAACAAAAACTCTATGCTCTTTCTTTGATTTGTCCCTTTATGACCCAGAGGTGAATTTATACATATAGCTTAAAATACCAAAGTCTTGCAACTTAAAAAAATGTTTTTTTTTCTTTCTTTTTTGTGTGGCTATTCTCCTTGCTTCAAGTTGAAAATAAATTACTGAGAATTTCATTTAGCTTATTTATTCTAGGATGTATCTTCTCTCTGTAGAAAGTATTAAGTGACAATAAATATGAATCCTAAGACAAGTATATAGGAAAAAAACTATTGGTTCACTTTTCCAAATATTATATCACACATACACTACTAACTTTTACATATCTAGAAAATAACTAGTATTCATTATTTTCTTTTTCAGTACTAGTGATTAAACCCAGAGCTTCACACACACTAGGAAGATGTTCTGTCCTAGGATACATCCTCTTCCCTTCATTTTAGTTTATTTTGTTATTTTAGAGATGGAATTGCTAAGTTACCCAGTCTGGCCTTGAATTTGTCATATTCCTGTTTCATACCCCCAAGTAGCTGTGATTACAGGTGTGTGCCAACACCATGCCAGGCTAATGTTCAATAAATTGTGACTATTACATTTTGTCTTATTTTCATTGGTACATTGATACACTGATAAGTCTCCTCAGTGACTATCAGTTGTCCTCCAGCTCACATTGATTTTGCATATTCCATTTTCTAATATTTGCACCTTCACTAATAACCTATAACAATCAATTAAATCTGGGTACTAATTAGTTTCCAGAATCTGGAACTTTATCTCATCTGGATCATGATTTTGATAGCAATGCCATATATTAGAAGGGAATTTACTTTGAAGAAGCATGTATTATAGATACTAGGTATTAAAGAAAAAAATGAGATTTAACAAACTTTCATGAATTTAAATATTAATTAATTTTGTGGTGATTATTCCATTATTATTATTATTATTATTATTATTATTATTATTATTATTATTATTATTATTTTTGTGCTGGGGATTGAAATCAGGAGTGCTTAAACACCGAACCACATTCTTAGCTCTTTTAGTTTTTATTTTGAGACAAGATCTCGCTAAGTTTCTCAAGGCCTAAGTAAGTTACTGAGGCTGGCTTTAAACTTGTGATATTAAAACATTTTTTGAGCATCTATTAAGTATGACATTGATTTCGAATTTCCAGGATATAGTTGAGAATAAAACAAAGATTTTTTTTCTTGTTTCTATTCATGTAAGGCAGATAGAAACCAAGAAGGTTTAAAAAGGATAATAAAAATAGTGTAAGGGATACAAAAAATGAATTGAGATACTGGCTACAGAATCATTAAATTTCTGAGAAAGTAGTTATTAGAAACATGTGGCCATTAAATTAGAAATCCTGGATAATGATAATGAACTTTATTGGGAGATTTAAATATTTATTGATTTTAAATTATGATGAAGTTGAGGGGTCATTATTTGAGGAGCATAATTTCATAATTTTTATTTCATAATACTTTTCACAGTGTGTTCTATCAGAAACCTAGCATGGCCACTATGAATTCTTATTCAAGAAAAAAAAATATAAATCTGCTCAAAATTAGAAGATTACTATTCAACCAAACATTGAAAGACTATTTGCTTAGTAGTTTCCTTGGAGACTTTATTAACCTGGTTGAGCTGCCACAACAAAATACTGCAGATTGAGTTGCATAGAAAACAGAAATTTATTTTCCTTTAGTCCTGGGAACTGGAAGTCTAAGGTCGAAGTGATGGCAGGTAAGTTTCTGGTGACAGCTTTCTCCTGGGCTTCCAGATAGCACCTTCCTACTGCGTCTTCAAATAACCTTTCTGTGTGCACACATGCCAAGGGGTGGGGAAGATCTCTGGTGTTTCTTTCTCTCCACTTAAGGACACCAATGTTATTGAATTAGGGCCCATCCTTGTGAACTCATTTAAACTTAGTTCCTGCTCAAAGGTCCTTTTTTTTTTTTTTTTTCAAATACAGTAAAAATGGAGATTAGGCTTTAATGTTGAACTTCAATGATTGAGGAGGACATAAATCAGTCCATAACTTGATTCTTATCTCATCCCTTCAAGGATTTCCAACAATATGGGATCTTTTTCCAACATATATTCATGATCAATTAAACAAGCAAATGACATTGTCTTAAAACGCAAGTTATTGAACTATTTTAAGTGACTTATTAAAATTACTTCTTTTAAGATGCAGCGTATAATTCACTTAAAAAATGAGCACTATGTTAGTTTCCTATTATTGCTACAACAAACTACCACAAAGTGAATGGCATAAAATGACATAAATTATTTTCTTACAGTTATGGAAGTCAAGTCCAAAGTGAATCTTGTGGGCTAATATCAAGATGCTGGTAGAGCTGTATTTCTTCTGCATATTTTAGGGAAGAATCTATTTCCATTCCTATTGTGTCTGCCAGAAGCTGCAGTTTTGGCGTGTGCTCTCTTCTTCAATATCTCAATATTTTATCATTCCTCACTCCTCGTTTCTCTCTCTTCACTTCTGGTTTCACATCTTCTCTGACTCTCCTCCTTCTCTTTTTCCTTTATAAGGACATTTGTGTTCTGGGAAATCAAAAGTAATCTCCTTAACTCAAAATCCTTAACTTTACGACATCTGCTCATTCTCTATTTTCCATTTAAGGACATGGGGATCAGTGTGGACATCATTAGAAGGCAATCATTACCTTCATGACAATTTTCATATCATTTCCTATGAAATGTTATTACTTTAGTAAGTATACAAACATTTTTTTTGTCATTAAAATTCCATGAATTTTTGCTAAGTCAACGAACCTGCTAAAATACCTGACTTACTGTGGGTATTTTATCTTTCCAAGTTTTAGAGGTAAAAACTGATATAACATTGCTGTCTAAATCTATTGAAATAAAGGTTGGATTGTTCATTACATGTAACCAGAAACAAAGATAAAAATATGTACTCTTACAAGTCAGACTTTGCAAACTGCAGATTCAATAAACCCTCTGACTTTTGTAGTATGAGATCATGTTTCTGTTACATAAATGAGTCAAAGACAGCTTCTGTATATTGTTCTCTAGGTAGTTTATTTCTTCACTGCAGGTTGAATTCTGTTAGCTCAAAAGTCTGCCAGCAATAAATTTATTTTTTTTTACACACCAAATTGTTTCAAAAACAGCCAAATTAGAAATGTTAGCCATTTAGTTCCTGCTTGCATTTCATATTCCGTAAACCTCAACCTGCAAATGCGACCCACTGGCAAGATAGAGCCTTGCCACAATAAAGCTAAAAGCTGCACTTCTCTTCAGAGTTCTCCAACCCAAAGAAGCCCTGCTATGTCCTGAGCTGGGCTTTCCTTCTTTCCTGGGACCACTCTCCTATGGAAGTTCCATTATCCTCTCCTTCCAGATGGAGGCCCCTTACCTGAGTCTCTGAAAGTGTCTTCACCTCTCACGCAACTCTATTCAAGTGCCACCTCCTGAAGCTCATTGTGTGTTTCTGCCTGTTATGGGTCTATCTTTAGCTTGAGTAGCCTCAAATCCCTTAAAGTGATAGTGTCCCATCTCAATCGCCAGAAATTCTATAATTTCAGATTCTGAATTACTATGCTTTACTCAGTAGTAATTTATCCGAGAGGAAATTGTAACCATCTCAGAAATGTTTATACCAGAGTTGTTATTAATATTTAGATATTAAAAATATCATTAACTCCCTTTAACTGCATTACACCAAATGTCAATTTACAAAGCAGTTTGAAAATATAGTATATAATTTGATTATCATGATAATAAAATGAAATAGATGCTATTATTTTCATTTTACTTATAGGAAAAATGAGATTTATAAAATTATGTAAATGGTTTCATACAAGATAAATTTTTTATGGGTGAATTAAGCCAGGGTTGAGCCAAGATTATCTTATATGTTTAGTTTTCTTTGCTTTTTCATAATGCTATATAGCTCTGGTGGTAATTCTTATTATCTTATATTAGTTTTATGGTTTGTCCTGTTTCTCTAATCTGTATTTTTCAATTTTTCATTGTCTGTAATACTTCTTAATATATTTTCCTTCACTGATGACAGAAAAATAAAAGGGCTGGGGTAATTCCTTGAGAATATCACATTAACTCTGCAGAAAATAACTTTTAAAAAAAATTTAGTTGTAGTTTGGCACAATACCTTTATTTTATTTATTTATTTTTATGTGGTGCTGAGGATCCAACCCAGGCCTCGCATGTGCTAGATGAATGCTCTACTGCTAAGCCACAACCTCAGTCCCTGCAGAAAATAACTTTGAGTTTTATTTTGGTTCTCTCATTCTATTTAATATACTCTCCACAAATCATTCCCTTTAAATTGACTTTAAGTTAATGAAATTCACAGTGATTATAAATACATATTATATATATACATATATATATACATAAATATACATACATATATATATATATATATATGATAAATGAAAAATAAATGTGTTGCTGCAAATGAAGATATACAAAACATCCTAAGAGTGTATATCTCACAGATATTTATACTAGGATGGCAAGAAGAGATTTTCTTTCTTCAGAATTTCCTCTGATATAACTAGGTCACTTGCTAAACTATGTTTAGTAATGAAATGAGCATATTCTTTTGTCATTGATGGAAGTCAGAACCTGGTGATTGAAAAGATCAGTGAAGAATGAAATACATCTGCAAATGACACTCATTGGGTTCTAGGAAAAGCTAATGAAATGTAGTTCTTGAAAAGTTCATAAACAAGGTTGTTAGCATGAAGAAAAAAATTGTCTTAAGAGTTTGAATGACACTGTACTGTGGTGAGCCGCTTCTGCCGTTTCTGCAGACTATGGTCGCCATTACAAGATGACGCTGGCTCCACTGTGGTCTGTGACAAACAACTTCTTATCTGGGAAAGTTGGCACATGATTTTTCACCACCCTGTGAGAAAGCTCCACGCGGCAGCTTTGCATTGGGGCTTGGGATGCTTTATTAAGGCTGGGAGGGGCATCCGAGAGGGAGAAGAAGAAATATCAAGGGCCTGAATAAACTGCTGAAAGAAGATTCCTGAGTTGCGTCTTCCTTGCGGGCAAGGGGTCGCGACAAGTGGTGCCGAGACCCGGGAACCAGAACTTTCAACACTCAGGGGTGGTGCACCGGTTAGTCCCAGGTAAGTGGGATCCGCGATCAAAGCGGGGTTAGTCCCAATAAGTGGGATCCGCGATCAAAGCGGGGTTAGTCCCTAGTAAGTGGGATCCGCGACCAAAGCGGGGCAGCTCCTCTGTAATGAAAGAGAGAGCCTTACATTTTATTGCAGCTGCACTGTGTACTTTCGCTTCTACTTTCGCTTTCTGTTTTTTGTGCTTTCTTTGTTGTTGTGTCATGGGTGCCGCATCTTCAAGTCCGCTTCTCCTGGCCCTAGATGGCCTGTTACGTTCCAAGGGACTGGAAGTGAAACATAGTACTTTACAGAGATTTTTACAGAAGATAGATATTGCTGCACCGTGGTTTGCATTTTCGGGCAGCCTTACTGTGCCTAGTTGGGATAAATTAGGCAAAGATCTTGACTTTGCTTCTGAGCAGGGCATATTAGAGGGTGGGGTGATACCCCTTTGGAAAATGGTCCGTGGTTGCCTTACAGATGGTAAATGCCAGGAAGCTGTGAGTGAGGGTCAAGCTATTCTTGAGCAACTGCATGAGGAAAAATCTGAAGGATCATGTAGTAAAGTGGCAGAGAGTATTAAAAGTAACAGTAGTGAGAAGGCAAAAGAGCCTGAAGATAAAAATAGGAGAAGGCTCTACCCAGACTTGACCGAATTAAAAACGCCTGAGAACACAAGCGACTCAGAGAGTTCTGAGGACCTTGATATATTGTTACAACAACTACATAAGATAAAAATGAAAAAGAAGAAAAAGGAGACACAGGGCACGCAGGCCTACTGTAAGAAGGGGAAGGGAGTTAACATCGGTCAACAAAACTCTGAAGAGGAGGAGGTAGAATATCTAGAAGAAGATATGGTGCCGATTGCCCCACCTCCGTATGTGGGGGGGAGCCAAGGTTCCGGGAGATCTTTTCATGCACAAGTTTGGAGGACAGTTAATACAGATATGGGACTTGCATACCCTGTATTTCAGGACAATAACAGGGGAAGATATCATGAGCCTTTAGACTTTAAGATAATTAAAACCTTGGCAGAATCTGTCCGCACTTATGGCATAGATGCCGCTTTCACTCTCACTCAGGTGGAGGGACTTACTAGATTTTGCATGACTCCCTCAGATTGGGCTAGTCTAGTCCGCGCTTGTGTTTCCCCAGGGAAATATTAGGAGTCCAAAGTTGGCTGTTTAATGTTTCTGGCAGTACCCAAGACTCGGAGAGAGGTAGGAGGCTTAAAATTTCTGCAAATAATTCACAATTATCTAATGCTACATTACCCTCCGCAGCAGTCCGTCTCCAATCTCCGTTCCTGTTTCTTTTGGCTAATGTTACATTACAGGGGATGCTTAATTGTTCTAATATTACCTGTTATTTGTCTGAGTGTTGGAATGGATCCTGGCCTATGGCAATGGTTATGAAAATTCCAACTTTTGTCCCGATCCTGGTTACTGCAGATCCAGAGTCATTTCCTATTGTTGAACTGATTGGAGCCCGTAGAGATTTTGGAATTACGGCAGCTATGGTGACAGCTGTGGCGATATCTGCTGCTGCAGCAGTTACAGCTGGAGTAGCCATGGCCAGCCAGGTACAAACTGCTGCCACTATTAATCAGGTTATTCAACAAACATCCACCATACTTGAATCTCAAAGTAGAATTAATCAACATATTTTATCTGGGATTCTGGCTGCTAATCAAAGGATAGATCTGCTCCAAGCTCAAGTTGAGGAATTGTCTGACCTAGTACATTTGGGTTGTGTTGACCAACGTGCATATTTATGTATAACCTCTGTCAGATTTTATGATTCCAGAAATGCCTCCCGCATCATCGGGGAATATTTATCCAGAACCTGGTCCATGGAAGCAGAAAACTTGATCCAGTCTCAACTAACTCAGATTGCTGTTTTGAATAGTACCCGTGTCGATCCCGTGACTTTGGGTCAATTCACCGATTGGATATCTTCTGCTTTTTCCTTCTTCAAAGAGTGGGTGGGGGTAGGCATTTTTGGTGCAATGTGTTGCTTCAGTGTTGTACTTTGTTTGTGGCTTCTCTGTCGCCTTAAAACTCGCCATGCACAAGAAAAGGCTATGATCATACAAGCTCTTGCAGCTTTAGAAAATGGCAACTCGCCTCAAGTCTGGCTTGCGCATCTTAAGCAGTAAACCTTTGTCATGGTCGTTACACCCCAAGTTATAACATTGCACTGGGATCGACATGACTTTCCTTGTTATTCTCTTAGTGTTGGAAAGCCCTTGCACTCTGCCGGTATTACTGCCATTGCACGCAGATGGGTTTCCACACTAGTGCTTTTCTATCGCCTTAAAGTCCGTGCCTTTCTTTCAGGGTGCTGTCAACTTGTTTGTCGTTATAAACAGCCACAGTTCAGCCTCAGCTATCTCCCTTCGTCCACCATCGTCACGATACAGGATGCGAGGCAAGGCACTGCACTTGAGTGATCCTTGACGTGGACCTCAAGGAGAGCATGTCCTATTGCATGCGGGTTAGACGCGTTCACGCCCTGCCCCACGAAAAAAGGCGTCGGCTGATATGGCCTCAGATCTGGGGAAGGGCCCTCCTTAGGACTGAGCCATACTATGCAGCCACTTCTGCACAGTGGGATAGGACCTCTACTCTCGCCTGTATTGTTTTAAGAAAACAGAAAGGGGAACTGTGGTGAGCCGCTTCTGCCGTTTCTGCAGACTATGGTCGCCATTACAAGATGACGCTGGCTCCACTGTGGTCTGTGACAAACAACTTCTTATCTGGGAAAGTTGGCACATGATTTTTCACCACCCTGTGAGAAAGCTCCACGCGGCAGCTTTGCATTGGGGCTTGGGATGCTTTATTAAGGCTGGGAGGGGCACCCGAGAGGAAGAAGAAGAAATATCAAGGGCCTGAATAAACTGCTGAAAGAAGATTCCTGAGTTGCGTCTTCCTTGCGGGCAAGGGGTCGCGACACTGTACATTCTCAATAAGACTGAGGTAGACATCAGAATAATGATGTGTTAGTTTATAATAAGGACTAAAACTGTCACTTGGAGCATAGTGTTTGCGTTATCAAATTTCAAGGGCACATGAACAAATATAATCATTGAAAAGCATCATTTTTGACTTGCTATAAAAATTCTAGAGTGTAGAGATAGAAAATACTAAAAAATATATAATGAGCCCTTTATCAAAAAGCTAACTTTTATGTAAATTGAAAGCTACATATTGAGCAAAGGCTCCAAATAAGGGGAATGGGTTATGCTGAATGTTTAATAACATCAGGTTAAGTGAGCTAGTCTAACATCAGATGATAAGTGCTATTATGTGTATAAGTAGTAAGTAATATTTTCTGTCTCCTATGGTTTAT